TTAATTAAAATATTCTCTTTAGGGATCTGTAGGACATTCAGAGCGACTTTATGATCAGCTTTCACCAGAAGTTGACCATAGAGTCATGTTGAAGGATTTAAGGATTCCTCTGTAGAATATCTCTCTAATGTTTTCTAGGTCCTCTTATTGAAGTTGATCCTAGAATCATGCTGGAGAACTTAGAGATTCCTAGAGAGAGAGGTATTCTCTCAGATTAAAATAAAATAGCAAAGTTTTTTCCCTCTTTCACAGGGGTCCTATGCCCCTGCAAATGTAGAGGACTGATTGTACTTTGGAGCATTTGAATCTAGACTTGGCCATATTTTGGAGGAGACCCAGCAAAATCAGTGGGACTTCAGTCCACACTTTACTAGTCCCATTGACTTCAGAGAATCTACTCCAATCATAACTGAGTCTGGATTAATTTGATGTCATGCCAAGGTGATTCTGATTTGATGTTATTTACAATGCATATTTACAATTGTGGTCCAAAGACATAGGATTGTGCATTTGGGGTAAATGTTGACCTGTTTCGTATCCCAGCTTTCAGTGGGGGCCCTGATCCATTTTTCAGAATCTTCCTGAAATTGGGAGGGCAGATATCAGTTTTTGCTCTGGGATGCCGAAAGATCCATTTTCTATCGGTCCATTATGGGTGTGGGCTTCCCAGGCTCCCCTTCCTGTCATTTTAGGCATTTAACCTGTTTACTGCAACATGCTCTATGTGAGGTTCGAAGACTGTTCAGAAACTGCAAATAGTCCGATACACTGCAGCCATGTTGTTAACTGGGCTGTCGCATAGGGAGCATACAACCTCCCTGTTGCGGCAACTCCACTGGCTGCCTATTAGCTACCGAGCACGGTTCAAAGTGCTGGCTTTAGCCTATAAAGCAGTGGTTCTCAACCTGGGGTCCCCAGATGTTTTTGGCCTTCAACTCCCAGAAATCCCAGCCAGTTTACCAGCTGTTAGGATTTCTGGGAGTTGAAGGCCAAAAACATCTGGGGACCCCAGGTTGAGAACCACTGCTATAAAGCCTTAAATGACTCCGGTCCAACTTACCTGTCTGAATGTATCTCCCTCTATGGACCAGTTTGTAGATTAAGATCTTCCAGGGAAGTCCTGCTCTTGACCCTACAGGTGCGGCTGGTGAGGACGAGGGACAGGGCCTTCTCGGTGGTGGCCTCATGGCTGTGGAATTCTCTCCTGAGTAAGATCAGGTCAGCCCCCTTCCTCCTGACCTTTAGGAGACAGCTAAAGACCTTGCTGTGGAATCAAGGGTTCAGTCCACCACAGGAATATTTAAAGTTAAAGTGAAAGCTGAAAGTGCAACAACCCAGGACTGTTTATGGATAATGGCTATGTGTGATATATGATTTTATGTGCTGTGTTTAATAATGTTTAATGCTTTATCAGGGGAGGATCAATTTTGATGTTTTATACTGTTTTTTTATCAATGGCTTTGAATTGTTGCCAACACTGAGAACTGCCCTGAGTCCCCTTCAGGGTTGAGAAGGGCAGTATACAAATACCACAAATTAAATAAATAAATAAATTTGCTCTAGAGGAGAGGTGCTCAGCTGCAGGCAGGTGCACATTTTAAGGAGGCTTCTTACCTGTTTCTACTCTAGAGGAAGTGTTTGGCTGCAGGCAGATGGGAATTTTTTCTCTCTCAGGCCTGCATGCCACTCACTCCAAGGCAAGGAGGCAAGTTATGTTTCTTACTCTAGAGGAGGTGCTCTGCCACAGACAGGCGCATGCACTTTTTGGGCCTGGACTCTACACACACATTCTTTCCAAAGCAAGGAGGCATGAAGTGCCACATGCTCATGAAAAGCAGGCAAGGAGCCAAGATTGGCTCCTGCTTTTGTGTTGAGATGATTTTCATACTGGGAGGGACCTTCCCATTACATGCTCCTGAAGGTAACGAAAGAACAGATGTACTGATGGAAAACGGTTCTGCGCACAACCCTAATAATAGGTACTTATACATTTTGATAGATGTATACATATTTCTTTGTCCACCTGTGCTACATTTTTATGACACATTCTTTTTGAAGTATTGGAACTTCAAAAGTTGGTATTGTTTCAACTCCTAAAATGGGTGGCATTTAGAAAGAGAAAAGATGCATCCATATCCACATAAATGTCCACAAGAATTGTCTAAACCTAGCACAGTAATAATTTTAAGTACATTAAAAAATCTTGTCTAGCCAATTTCACTGTTTAATTAACAATGAGAATCTACAGGGGAAGTCTGCTATTAGAAAAGATATCAGACCAGCTTTCCTTCTTTTAGGCATCCTTTCCTTCTACCTTAGATGAACAATACCCCAATGAGATTGGTGCTTCCCAATAGAAGGGACAAAGGTATTACTGTTGTCAACTTTCCATTTTCCTACTATTCTTTTATCTATAGCCAAAATGTTCTCCTACTTTCGTTGTAAACACTTTATATCTTTTTCAAACCTTGCAAACTCTATTAATAAAAATATCTATAAAAATAGGACTGCAGGCACCTAAATATCTTTTAACCAAAAACAGACAACAGCAATGGCATTGTCTGTAGCCTCCAACAATTCCTCCTCTGTACAGGGCAGTTGCCTGTTCTGCTCCACAGTCACACAAGGTGGGTGATTCTTTTAGGTAGTGCCATTTTGCCAGCTTGTCTTTTGATCTGCCCACTCTGCTTCTGAGTCTGCTCACGGACTTCCAAGTTGCCCATTCTTGGTTTGCCCCTGGAGGAAGACCCTGGGGGGGGGGGGCATCCAGTTGGGATTTCCTGGTTCATTTCCCAGAGGGATACCCTTGCTGTTGCTGGGGGGACGCCAAGAGGAGTGGTTGTTCTCATAAAGCTTTTCCTTGATTTGAGTCTACTGGGAGGAGGCTGGTAGCCATGTAGTGGGTGGCTTTCACAGTGTTCAGCGTTATTTCTCTCACATTTAGCAGCAACTTCCCATCGACACATGGGGGGGGGGGGCAATGCAGCTAGCTCTGGTTATCAACAGTTTATCTGGTTTCAAATGAAGGGAGGCAGGCATGTAGCGGGGGGGGGGGGGCTTGAGGCTTCAGCCCCCCCCCGAAATTCTCATGGTGGTTCGCGAAAAGGCCTTACTGGTGCATTACTTAAACTGTTATGTTTATTCATATCATGATCTGATCACCATACTCAATATATCCCATATGCATGGGGGTATTGGGGTAATGATACAAAAGGTTTGCTAGGCTAGACCCTCTTTCACTCAGACTCAGCCCCCCCCCTGAAACTCAGCCCCCCCCCGAAACCCCCCCCTGAAAAAAATTCAGCCCCCCCCCCAAAAAAAACGAAATCCTGGCTACGGGCCTGAAGGGAGGGAAAGAAGGAAGGGGAGTAAAGGGAGGGAGAGAGGGAGAGAAAAGGAAGGAAGGGAATGGAAGGAAGGAAAAAGACAGGATGGAAGAAGGAAGGGGGAGAGGGAGGAGAGTGAAGGAAGGGAGGAAGCTGGGGGAGGGAGAAGGAAGGAAGGAAGAGAAGAAGGAAGTTAGGGAGGAAGTGTGTACTCTGGAACCACTGGCAAGGAAAGCATGTTTTGCAAAGAGCAACCCGTTATCTCCCCCAGAGCTCAGGATAGTTTTCTTCAAACCCCGTTTGATTAACCCTTGGACTGCACTGATAAAGGCCCCGAGTTTCGTCTTGGGAGAGCCGAAGTCCCTTCCCAGTGGAGAAGCCCCGGGAAGCCTGGGAAGGGAGGCCATCCGTCAAAGTCGGAGAGGCGATCTCTGCAACCTCCCGAGAGGACTGGAGCGCTCGTTTCCCGCCGCGCGTTATTGTTGCGGCACAAAGTGTTTCCAATTAGGTCTCCCCTGGTCTCTGGGCCCATCCATCTCCCTCCATCCACCCATCCATCCTGGGGCTGGAGCCCGCTCCTTCCATCCCTCCCTCCCTCGCTCCCTCCCTCCTTCCTTCCTTCCTTCGCTCCCTCCTTCCCTCCGCTCGCTGCCTGCCAGACATATGGGATCAATCAGCGCTTAAGCCTCGGTGCCGATGTGTTTGCGCCGGGAATGTTGACAGCCTGGCAGACACCGGCGGGGCTCTGGTGACAAGGAGGAATCCAAGTCAGCAACAACTTCAGCCCAGGAGAGAGAGGGAGGGGGGAGGGAGGGAGAGAGAGAGGAGGAAGAGGAGGAGGAGGGGGACCCTCGTATCTCGGCTAGACACACTCTTTCCCTCTCTTTCCCGGGAAAAAGAGACGGGAGAGTTTTATTTCTAAGCCGCCCAACACTGAGGCGAGAGGGACTGACTCCACGTGCGCGCGCCCAAAAAGCAAAAAAAGATACTCCATTCGTGTCGAGCGCGCGCTGCTCAGAGGGAAGGTGCGGAGGGAGGGAGGGGGCGCGCACAGAGGAAAGAGCCCCCCGCCTCGCACAAGTTGTGCCAAAATGGGCTGAGGCAGGAAAAAGAAGCGTCGGGGCGCGAGGCCAGAGTTCGGAGCGCGCGCGCGAGTGGTCCACTTCTTTCGCGGGGGGGGGGGGGGAGTATGAGGTGTGAGCCGCTCAAGGAGCCGCCCCCGTTAAAAGTATTCGAGGGGTTCCTCCGTTGAAGAGAAGAGGCGGAGGAGCGCGAGGGAGGGTGGGGTGGGCTCAAAAGGGAACAGCCCCTTATTTAAAAAAAGGGTTTGAAGAGCCATCCGCCATAAAAGAGAAGCGGCGAGACTCCAGATAAGAGAAGAGGAGGAGGAGGCTGCTGGTTTGAGGAGGGAGAGAAGGAGGGAGGGGGCGCGCAGAGGCAGCAGCCCCCACAAAAGTGTGAGGCGGGGGGCCAATCAGAAGAACGGGAGGAAGAGGGCAAGCGGAGGGGAGGGGCGCACGCGGCTGGTTTAAAGCAAGAGATAACTGAGCGCGCGCTTCATTCAGGCAACAGCCCTCGAAGAAGAAGAAGAAGAAGTGTTTCTTTCCAGGTGGGAGAGGGGCACAGAAAAGTCACAGCAGCCATAGAAACACCGCTGGAGGGAGCCACGCCGTGATGATGTGGGCGCTGGTGTGGGGCGCGCTGGTGTGGGGCGCCGCCGCGGGCCTCTCGTGGGCCTGGCCACCCGCGCAGCCCTCTCCGCGCAACCTGAGCGCCTGGGCGGCTTCCGCGCCGCTCTTCCCTCCTCCTCCTCCTCCTCCTCCCCCCGAGGGGAGCCGCGTGGAGCGCCTGGGCCGGGCCTTCAAGCGGCAGGTGAGGCGGCTGCGGGAGGGCAGCGCGAGCCTGGAGCTGGTCTTCCTGGTGGACGAGTCCTCGAGCGTGGGGCAGGCCAACTTCCGCAGCGAGCTGCGCTTCGTCACCAAGCTGCTCTCGGACTTCCCGGTGGTGCCCACCGCCACGCGCGTGGCCATCGTCACCTTCTCCTCCAAGAACCACGTGCTGCCCCGCGTGGACTACATCTCCCCCTCGCCCGGCCGGACCCAACCACGACAGCAGCACAAGTGCGCCTTGCTCGGCAGGGAGATCCCGAGCATCGGGTACCGAGGGGGCGGCACCTACACCAAGGGCGCCTTCCATCAGGCCGCGGTGAGTCGGGCGTCCATCCATCCCTCCCTCGACGGCAGGTTCAGGGCGCATGCGTCACCCCCACACTCTGGCTCAGCAGGTGTTGCCGGCTCCAGCTTCCAGAATTCCTCACCATTGGGCAAACTTGAGAGGCCTAAACACCGCAAGTTTGACACTTTTCTAGGAGTTCAAAACACCTTAGAGTAGGGCTTCTTGCACTTTTTCCATCTAAGTATACAAGGCAGTCCCCAGGATAGGAACAAAATACTTACTTACTTAGGCGATCCCGCATTGTCTGAGTATGATGGCCTTCCAAGTGTAGTGTCTTGGCAGTGGAGGTGACTGTTGAGCCCTATTCTTGACCCACATGTTCTTCCATAGTGAGACCATCAGTTTCCAGGTGGAAGACGGTCCTGGTCAGGATTGGCTTGATGTGCCTTCCCCTTGGCACGTTTCTCCCTTTTGCCCTCCATTTGAGCCTCTTCCAATTCCACAGCATTGCTGGTTAGAGCACTCAAGGGCCAGGGCTTCCCATTTCTCAGTGCCTATGCCACAGTTAGCTTTAAGCCCATCTTTAAATCTCTTTCCCCGTCCACCAGCATTCCATTTACCATTCTTGAGTTGGGAGTAGAGTAACTGCTTTGGCAAATGGTAATTGGGCATTTGGACAATATGGCCAGTTCAGTGGCATTGATGGCATAGGAGCATCACTTCAGTGCTGGTGATCTTTGCTGCTTCCAGCACACTGACATTTGTCTATCTGTTTTATTTATTTATTATTTTATTTATTTATTTATTTTGTATGCTTATATACCGCAATATCTCAGCCTACAACGGCGACTCATTGCGGTTAACAGTACTTAAAAACAACAATAATCAAACAATTTAAAAGCATAAAAAACATATACAGTACACAGTATCGGGCCACCAATACCGACCAATGCATCTCTTAGTTAAAATCATAATCCGAATTCATCGTCAATAATTACCAGTCCTTGTCATCAACTTCATCGCACCGGATTACCCGAATGCTTGTTCAAACATCCATGTCTTAAGTTTTTTTCGAAATACCAACAGCGAGGGAGCTGATCTTATCTCTATAGGGAGGGCATTCCAAAGCCGAGGGGCCACCACAGAGAAGGCCCTGTTTTCCCAAGAGATTGGCAGGATTTTTCAGAGGCAATACTCATGCAGGGGCGGCTCAACCCATTACGCAAAGTAAGCATTCGCAGTATAGTTGATTTTGCCCAGGGGCGCTCTTGAGGCGCTCTTGGGGAAAAATAGACCTTGACTTATGTGAGTTGTAGTTCCTGGAATGTATAGTTCACCTAAAATCAAAGAGCATTCTGAACACCGCCAATAATGGAATTGAACCAAATATGGCTCACAGAACTCCCATGATGAACAGAAAATATATATCAATGATTGGTTGGGGGGGGGGCACCAAAATACTGTTTGCTTACCGTTGAAAATTACCTAGGGCTGCCTCTGTACTCATGGAATTGTTCCAGGAGTTGCATGTGACGTATGCAGACAGTCCGTGTTTTGCAGGCGTATAACAGGGTTGGGAAGACAGTAGATTTATAAACAAGCATCTTGGTATCCCTACAAATGTCCCAATCCTCAACAGTTTCTGCTTCATTCAGAAAAAGGCTGCACTTGCGGTGCTCGGGCAGTGTTGTATTTCAGTGTCAGTGTTGACTTTTGTGGACAGGTGGCTGCCAAGGTAACAGATATGGTCAACCTTTCCTAATGCTTTACCATTAAGCTGTATTTCTGGCATTGCAGAGGGATTGGGTGGTGCCTGCTGGAAGATAACTTTGGTTTTCTTGATGTTCAGTAAGTGGCCGAGCTTCTCATATGCTTCTGCAAAGGTATTTAGAGTTGCTTGTAGGTCTTCTTCTGAATGTGCACAGACTATGTTATCATCGGCATATTGGGGTTCTATAACAGATGTTGTTGTGACCCTGGTTTTGGCTTTCAGTCTGCTGAGGTTAAATAGCTTGCCATCTGTCCAATAGTGAATTTCCACTCCTGTGGGAAGCTTCCCATCAACAAGATGAAGTATCATAATGATGAAGATGGAAAATAAGGTTGAGGCAATAACTCATCCCTGTTTGACACCTGATTCCACCTTAAATGGGTCACTTTTGGAACCAATTACTGTCCAAGACTGTTTCCATCATATCATCATTAAGGAGCCTCAGGATGTTGACAAATTTGTCAGGGCATCCAATTTTTTGAAGGATGGTCCAGAGAGCACTCCAATTCAATGTGTTGAATGCCTTTGCAAGGCCATGTACAGAGGTTGATTTTGTTCCCTGCATTTTTCTCGGAGCTGTCATGCAATAAAGATCATGTCCACTGTTCCTCCGGAAGGGCAGAAGCCATTCTGAGATACTGTGAGGTTGTCATCTGAGACAGGTAGAAGGCAGTTTGCAAGGATTCTTGCCAGGATTTTACCAGCGGAGGTTAGAAGGGAGATACCTCAATAGTTTCCACAGTTTGTTCTTTCCCCTTTTTTTGAAAAGGGTGATGCTGGTGGCATCCTTGAAGTCTCCGGGGATTTTCTTGGTCATCCACACTTTTCCAATAAGTTGGTGGAGTTGTTGTGTCAGCTCAGGACCACCCTCTTTAAAGACTTCAGCAGAGATCCCATCAGGTCCACTGGCTTTGTTTGTTGTTGTTGTTGGCTGATTGCATTGCTGACTTCCTCCAAACCAGGCATGATCATCCCTGGTTTGTTGTTGTAAGATTTGTGAGAGAACCTCTTTGGCCACATTGGAGCTGCAATTCAGCACTCTTCCCAACGTAGCGTTATTGATTTTTTTTGTCCTTCAGAAGTTTGATTCTATCTGAGTTTGGTTCTGTCTTGATCCATAGATGACCTTTGTGGCTTTAAAAATCCCTCAGCATCATGGGTATCTGGTTCTTAGAAAGGCAGTGTGATGATAATGGACAAGTGTGATGGATGGGCCTTGGAGATCCTTGTTCAAATCACTCTTAAGCTATGAAGTTCATTGTACCACTGGCAATCACTTGGTAATAATATGAGTATTAACCTGAAGATTGGTCATTTCAAATTGGTCTGTCTCCTGGTGCAGATTGTCATTATTTCACATGAATTGCTTTTCTGGTGATGAGCCTTTTTTGTATATAGCCAGATTGATCCTTGGGGGACAGTGGCACTTTCAGAGTTGTTTTGGCAGAAACTGCAAAAAGTTATTCTCATGTGGCATTGTTTTTAAAAATGCAGGGTCACCTCTATATTTTGATGAGGCGACATAATAATCTTTGTGGAAGAAAGTAGAAACTACATCATCATCATTTTCCTCTTCAGTGTACCTATATCACAGAGTTGTTTAGGGAAGAGGCCTTCAAGTTGCCTGTCAACTCATGGTCCCATGAATTTCATAGGGTTGCTTAGGCAGCCAGTTCCCTCCTCTGAAATAAAGCTCACATCACTTGGTACTTGTCAGCACTTTCCTATCTAAGTACTAACTAGGGCTGGTCCTGCTTAGCTTCCAAAATCTGATCTGGTGCCTTTTGATTATTTAGGCCCAGTAAGGAGTTATGTGCACCACCCTAATAAAATTATTGTGGAAGTGTCCATAAGAGCAGGTTACAAAGGTAATTTTAGAATTTACCCTTAACAGCCAAAGCAAGAGTAGGTGAGATGAAGCTCGGTTGAGCCTGATACAGGCAGATGTGGACACTTGGAGGTGGTTCTCACATGTACGATCATCTTCTGACACAAATAACATTAAGGGGACCATGTGACAACTCAGAATTTTCCATCATCTCAATTGCATTTCTGGCAAAACCAAGCCTCACTGAGAGTTTGCTGCTGGAAATTCATGATCTTTCCATTATCTTTTTTTGTTTTATTTTCTTCCTTTTTTCACAAAAAGAAGTGCTGGAGGGTGATTTGCATGGCATCATAGTATAGCAGGAAGGGCAGTTCAATCTCCAGCTGCTCCTTACCTTGTGGAAAGTCACATATATACACACATAGGGTGGTAGAATGAAACAGAAACAAAAAGAAAGAGAAGTACTGTACTTTTTGCTGTGTCTGATAGTAGTTCTGTGGGACAATTTTCATTGCAAGAAAGAATTACCCACCTCAGCACACATATACACTGTGGCCCCACTCCAGACCAGACCTTTTCACTTCTGCTTTTAGCCAAAAAGAATAATGTTAGGAAATCTGATCTCAGATCTCTCACATCACATCTAGTTTGGCCCTTGGTTCATATACCCAGGGCCAAACAACGTATTACACTATAGTTACACTTAGCAACAGTATCTCAGCATCTACCACCAATTGTAAAAGGGTGCTTAATCTATCCACAGACATGGCTTGCACTCAAAATTTTCATTTTCAGTGTTTCTCCAAGTTGTTCCAGAGCTATGATGATAAGGTACATGTCGATCTAGAAGAAATACTACAGTATAAAAGCATCTGGGTAAAAAGAGAAATAGATAGCTTGCATTGCCTAGAAGCTTGTTGTTGCCTTCATGTTGTTTTTGACTTATGCCAACTCTAAAGTGACCCTATCAAAAAGTTTTCTTGATAAGAGTTGTTCAGAGGGGGTTTGCCTTTGCCTTCTCCAAGGCTGAGACAGTATGACTTAACCAAGGCCACCCAGTGGATTTCCATGGCTGAGTGGGGATTCAGATCTTGGTTTCCAGAAGTGCAATCTAATGATCAAGCTGCTATACTACACTGACTTGTGTACTGGGTTATTCTTAACTTCAATTTGCATTCACTAATTTATTATTTATTTACAGTATTTATATTCTGCCCTTCTCACCCCTCAGGGGACTTAGGGCGGATTACAATGTACATATACATGGCAAACATTCAATGCCATAGGCACACAACATATATAGACAGACACTCAGAGGCTATTTAACATTCCAGCTTCTGGCCACCAGGGCAGCTGTCACTTCACCATCCATTTGTGACACTGATTAAGTACTTTCCTCATTCTTTGCATACTTCCTGGAGATTTTTATGG